GAATCCATGGCGGAGGGTTGGTGGGCCAGCCCGTTTTATTTATTATTTTTTTAAAAAATTTTTTCCTCCCTCAAATATAATTATGTTTACTTTTTTGGTCTTTTATCTCATTCTTATTATTTAAAATTGCCATAATGTAGTATATCTCTTACTTTGTATTATGAACTTTACTTATGGCAAGGTTAGTTGAGCAAAAAGAAAGTGATTCTACTTATAAAACTTAACCAAATAATTTCACATTTTCATATCATTCTTTGAATTATATCAATGTTGAATGGTAGTTCATGGTTGAGCATTTAATAGTGATTTGTAACACTGTGTTTGTATTATTATTAATTTAGATTTGCTAGGTTTTAATTTGAGATGTATGTTTAATCATTTAGAATAATATATTATGTATGCTTATAGTAGTATTTTGGAATGTTTGGAACTTTGGATTTCATATTTTATTTATGGTAATTTATATATGCATATTTTATTTTAAATGTTTAAGAATTAAAATAAATTTTATTTAAAAAACAAAAAGACACGCAAAAAATGGCAAGTTGGCAGGTTAACCTGACAGGTTGGGTTGGAAAAATATTAACTTGTCAGAAATCAATTTTTCTAGGACCGGTCCGTCAATCCTTGAGCCCGTCATGGGTTAACCCATAACTAGTGGGTTAATCTGTATTACTGATTCTAAACTGATAGGTAAATGTTTAGGATTTAGAATGCAACAAATGAGTTGGCAACAAAAAAAAAAAGAAAAAGCAAGAAATGAGGGAACCGACATCGATTAGAGTGATGTGACAAGCCATGATGCCATATTTATGTTTTATACGTGAAACAACTCTAAAATATGCTCTGCAATTCGTCACTTTAGCCAACACTCTAACCTCCTCTTATCTGAATAGCTTAAATTTAATTTTCACAGTTTATATTTTTTTATTTTTGTTTGTTTAAAATAATTTTTTTCTCAAAAAGTCTTTTTCTATTTCAAAAATAAATAATTAAAAATTTAAACTTGGACGTTTCTAATCTAATAAGTTTATGATACTTATTATCTTGTTGAACACCCAAATTCGTTCTTACTGCACATTTTTATTTCCCTTTTTGTTGTCAAAGTTGATTCTCTGTTTATGTTTAGGGAGGTGTTTAGGTAGAAGTTAAATCATAGTTTTAAAAGTATTTTTATGACATACAAAATAAATATATAAAAAAGTTTATCTTGTTTCAAATCTAATAAATTTAGGATGCTTTCCAAACGCTGCCTAAATTGTACAAAGGCAATTTGCTTTGCCATTAGATGCCTTGATATTGAATACTAAATAGCTATTTAGTCATGGTTTTTTTTTTTTGACCAGCTATTTAGTCATGGGTTACGCTTTACAGAGCCTAATATAAATATGTAATAAAATTAAGTGTTTATTAAGGGGATTCCAACTGGTCGCTCAAGAATTCAATTGATCCTATCACGGCTGCTGCATAGGGATTGGCGAGTCATTTTTTTGCCTTGTTCGTGGAGAATCTATTTCCCTTCCAACCTCTTAATTAAAAAGTGTTCGAGTAAGAACAAAATTATAGTTTTAAAAGTATTTTTATAGTATACGAAGTAGATATACGGAGGAGTTTGTTTTGATTTACAGAAAAGTACTTCTAAAAAGTAATTATGAGGCTTTTCAAACATCCTCTTAAACTTTCTCATCAGATTGGATTTATGTAAATTTTTATATCACTGATTATATTATACTTCTTTGAACATTGGGGCTTGTTTTTCTTTTTTCGCTGTGCTCGCTTTTTTTTTTGGGGGGGGGGATTTTTGGTCTAGCTCTTCAATTCGTACTTAAGATCTAGGTAATGAAATACTATCTCCGGTTTTTATTATAAAATCTCATTTGTAAACTATAAATAATATCTTATAATTAGGATTGGAAGTAATATGTTTCTAACATCATTTGGTCAAATAGAAGGAATATTATGTATCCGTGTTTATTTCAAAATAAGTGACCTATTAATAATTCAGTGCTTGTCTAGTTTAAATTATTTAAACCGGTTTTGTGCTTTTTAAAATAAATATACAAGAAAAGTTTTATTTCGTAAAACCTAAGTGTTTATAAGTAACTCTAGATAATAATTTATGCACCCTCAAGGTGTAGCTTATAAAAGAGAACATAAAAACGTGTGGCTTATAAAAAAGAATTAAGAGAGTGTCAAATAACAAACTTAAACAGTTTTCTAAATTTTCTTAAATTTAGTGTCTATTTAGGATAGTGGTGAAAATTCTCTATAAGCATATTTCACGTAAACCGAGACAACACTCCTTTCACATACTTATTTTGTGTTTCGTAAATCACTATTGAAAAATTATTTATAAGTTATTCATAAACTATTCCAAACAGGCTTTTAGAATAGGTGGTAGTTTTTTTTTTTGGCCAAAAGAATACGTGGTAGTTGGAGCGCATTTCTTCTTACCTTTTTAAATAGATAAAACTAGATGTAATCAAAGATGCATTACATATGTTTTCTACGAATTAAAAAAAATAAAGCAATCACAAAATTTCCAAATAATGTGCCTCGTTATCAATTTAAAATTTTACTTTTATTTTTTATTGTATTAACTGATGTTCTAATTGCTTATAAGTATGTTTTTGCCAGTAATTGTTTATAAATATAAACCATACAAAGCCTACAATAACAAAATCATAGCATTTTTTTGGACAAATATTAAAACATGGCTATTCGTTAATCTGAGCATATAAATAAATGTTTAGGTTTTGATCATGGGTTGCTATAGATTCTATTAAATATAGCAGTTGATTTGTTAAAGGCTATAATCTACTTTCACAATCATAAACTATAACTACACTTATGTTGGCAAAAAAAAAGTATAATTACATTTATATTCAAATAAAGCTTTACATGTGTCTTCGAATAAATATAATATCATAATATATTTAATTTAAATAATGACTTTTACAAATTAAATGCTAGGGTGCCAACGCGTTAAAAATAATAAATATGTAAAAAATATGATTTATTTTCTAATTACGAAAAAGGCAGGCGGAAAAAGCATGATGCAAAAAAAGAACGAAATAGATTCATAATCAATTAAGAGTAAAAATGGAAAAAATACAATAGAGGTTTATATATCTCAAAATTAGCTTATAAAAATAAATATACTTATTTATAAAACTGTAACTTGCATAAAAAGAAGCAGTGAGAGAAATACCCTTTCGTCAGTTATTTCTCCCCATTTATTTGTCCTTATCTAAAATTTTATTGGGAAAATCCCAAAAAAAACCCTTGGAATATACCAAATCCCAGATTGGGTCCTTAAATTTAAAAAATGACAGAATGGGTCATTGACTCAATCTGTCATTTGTGAAATTCAGGCGAATTGACATTTTTGCCCCTGAGCAAAAGTGAGTAGTTATTCTCTAAACAAATCTAGGTAACGCTTACACTGTTCTAGTGATTACAAGATTCGTTGTAGTTAATAATAAGGTACCTGACTATGAAAAAATGAGTAGTTATTCTCTACACAAATTTAGGTAATACTTACATTGTTCTAGTGATTACAGAATTAGTTGTAGTTAATAACAAGACACCTGACTATGAAAAAGTGAGTAGTTATTCGCTACACGAATCTATGTAACACCTAAACTCTTATAGTGATTACTTGAATTATTGTAGTGAATGAATAAATGAGGGCAAAATTATCAATTCGCCTGAATTTCACAAATGACAGATTGGGTTAATGACCCATTCTGTCATTTTCAAAATTTAAGGACCCAATCTGGCATTTCATGTATTCCAAGGATATTTTTTGGGATTTTCCCAATTTTATCTTATTTCTAGATACATGTCATATTGCAAATTTTAAAATATAATCATTACTTGTCTGCAATGACAACCTAATAAGTAAAGGATATTAAATATAGGCAAGGACAAAGTTTCCTGGAAAAATTGTGCGACAAAAAAACTGAAAAAACAAAAATAATTATCTTACAGTGCATTTATTTTGCTATTTTCTTAACATGCGTGATTTTTCAGCATAAAGAAATAGGAACGGAGGAAATGCAATGATATTTTTTACACAATTGGAGTATGAAAATTGCTTGGAATAAGTAATTTTGCCATTCACTTTGAGTTAAGAAATAAACCATACTCTTTATGATTTGCAAGTAATATTTCTCATTACTCTATTTACTTATATTATAATAGTACATTTAATAAAAAGTTATATTGTCCATAATTTGTGAATGACATAAATGATATGCATTCATTTGGGAAAAAAACCATCTTCCATTCTGAAAAAAAAAACAAAATCTATATTATTTTAGAAAATGGTAGGATTGGATGGAAAAATAAATTTAGAGGGTATTTAGATAGAATCAAAACTATAATTTAAAAGTATTTTTACGGTATATAAAATAAATATGTGCAGAAATTTTTTTTGATTTGCAAAAAATATTTTTTAAAAACATTTTGTATGTTATTCAAGCACGCTTTTGCTACAGTTCAAAAAATACTGCATGATGTGCAGTTCAGTTGCGATTGCAGGTTGTAACAATGGTGGCGGACGAATCCGTAAAATTGGGAAGGGAAGGGCGCGAGAAATTTCCCAGGAAAGCAGAGAACTATTCCCCACAGCGAGGGAAGATTCAAAAAGCCAAAAAGTAAAGTCAGTTCAAAATTTAAGCAAACTTTGCTCCAAAGCCAAATTTTCATTTTCCTTTTTAGGTAAAGTGAGAAAAAAATCCAAAAAGGGACGAAAAATATAAAATGCCAAGAGACAAGATCGAGGGAGAGAGAGCCCCTCGCTTCTTGAAGTACAGTTTTATTACAGGTACTGTGTCTTGAGGAGGACAAAGTGCTTTCTCCCTCTTTCTCTCTCCTGAATTTTCATATTTCACTCTCTCAATTTTGTCTTTGGATGATTCTGTGCTCGATTCTAGACATCTGTTCCCTTCTTTCTAAATTTTGAACTCGCTTTCATGTCTTAAACCCTAAACACCTTCATTTCCCTCGGCAAAGCCATGGATTCTCTTATACCATTTCAAGACCTCAATGACTTACCCGACCCATCCGCCTGTATGCCGAGCGGCAGCACCAACCCCATCAATGCCGGTGCTGGTGCGACTACTCCCACCGTTATGTTGGTCCCGAAATTGGAACCGAAGCTCGAGCCGTTGGATGAGCCATGTCTGAACCATCATCCCCAGGAACCCCAAGAAGTGGAGCGGACCATGTTTTCGAATCATGCCTTGGACGGGCTCTCTCCGTCGCAGCGCAGTAATTTCTGTGATAATAACCTCGCCTCCGTTGACAACCGAGGCGCATCGACGGAACAGGACAACCTGTATGCGGAGTTCTATCGATTTTCCGAGCAGTTTAGGACTATGTTGGCTGAGAGGTTTAACGCAAAGGGAGATGCCAATGCTTTAGGTCCGGATTCGCGGGCAATTGTTCCAGTGCCACAGGAAAACCAGGTTCCTCCGGTCGTCGTTACTCCGCGGCGGATCCCGCGAGTGAAGGAGCTGGTGAGGGTCAATGATCTTCGAATTGAAGATGACCGGTATTTCCGCAACATTACTAGAAGGACCAGGATGATTTACGATTCGTTGCGTGTTTTGGCAACGGTGGAGGAGGAGAAGAAATTCGATTTTTCTGGCGCTAAACGTATGCGAGGTGATTTGAGGGCTGCCTCGTTGATGAGGGATCGTGGATTGTGGCTTAATCGTGATAAGCGGATAGTGGGCGCGATCCCAGGGATTTACATTGGCGATTTGTTCTTTTTTAGGATGGAACTCGTCGTGGTTGGGTTGCACGGTCAACCACAAGCTGGAATTGACTATCTTCCTTCTAGCCAGAGCACAAATGGGGAGCCAATAGCTACCAGTGTGATAGTTTCTGGTGGATACGAGGATGACGAAGACGGTGGCGATGTGATAATCTACACGGGTCATGGAGGCCAAGCTAAGAATCATTCAAGGCAAGTTGTTCACCAGAAGTTAGAAGGAGGAAATCGTGCCATGGAAAGAAGCATGCATTATGGAATTGAAGTGCGTGTGATTCGAGGGTTCAAATATGATGGAAGCGTTTCCAGTAAAATTTACGTTTATGATGGCTTGTATAGAATTGTTCAATGCTGGTTTGATGTGGGTAAATCTGGATTTGGGGTTTACAAGTATAAACTTGTTAGAATTGAGGGCCAACCTGAAATGGGTAGTGCTATTCTTAGACTTGCTCAGGCTCTTAGGACTCGTCCTTTGTCTGTCAAGCCAATGGCTTATCTCAGTCTTGATATTTCTAACCAAAAGGAGAAGGTTCCCGTTCGTCTTTTTAACGACATAGATAGGGATCATGAGCCTTTGCGTTATGAATATCTTTCCCGGACTAATTTTCCTCCATTTGTATTTCATCTAACTGGGAATGCTACCGGTTGTGACTGCGTTGATGGGTGTGCTGATAACTGCTTTTGTGCTATGAAAAACGGCGGCCAATTCCCTTATAATCTAAATGGGATTCTTGTGAGAGGGAAGCCTATAATTTTTGAATGTGGCCCTTTCTGTCGTTGTCCTCCACATTGCCGAAATCGGGTTACGCAGCATGGGCCGAAAAATAGATTGGAAGTGTTTCGGTCAAGGGAAACAGGTTGGGGAGTGAGGTCATTGGACCTTATTCATGCGGGTGCTTTTATCTGTGAATATGCAGGGGTTGTTCTGACTATGGAGCAAGCACAGATTTTGTCAATGAATGGAGATTCATTGATATATCCGAGTCGGTTTTCTAATAGGCAAGCCTCAGAATGGGGTGATTTATCTCAAATATACTCTGATTATGTGCGTCCATCTTATCCATCAATTCCACCTTTAGATTTTGCCATGGATGTGTCCACAATGAGGAATCTTGCTTGCTATATGAGCCACAGTTCAATACCTAACGTGTCGGTTCAGTTTGTGCTGTATGATCACAATAATTTGATGTTCCCTCACCTTATGCTATTTGCATTGGAGAACATCCCTCCAATGAGGGAGCTCAGCCTTGATTATGGAGTGGCTGATGAATGGACTGGAAAGCTTTCTATATGTAACTGAGTGATTTTGAAAGTCTCATACTCCTTATAAAATGTTGAAGCTGAATTTTGGGCATGATACACTTGAGGTAAAGCCAGGTTTATCCTTTTTCCGTTTGTCCAAAGCATTATCTTTTAACTATATAGTTATTTCTTATTAATTACATCATTCCCTGTAAACTATCATACATGGATATCTTTAGGAAAGTTACCTTACTGTCTTCTGTCATCTTAGCAGTTAATTTTGTTGGCTTTTCAAAATGATTAAGTATCATGACTGCTCTTATACATTAGCCCCTTTTTTAGTATTTGCTGGTTATAGCAGTCCCAATCTGCTGGCTTGTGTATCAATTTTCTCCATTTATACTTCATGTGAAATTTTCTGTTGCATATCTGAAGATTCCCTTCCACATGTTAATATATATTGAGTACGAAATGAACCAATCACCCAAAAAAAGAAGTATGAAATGAACCGCTCTCTTTAAGACAGTATTACTTTGATACTGAAAATCATGATTCCCTTCGTTCCAAATTTCCTCTTCATCCTGATTCTAACATAATTTAGAAGAAGTTTATTCAACCGTTTGAACTTGCTTCTCTGTTAGTTGTTGTGGAAATAGGTTTTAACTTGGTTTGTTCTCTATAAAGTAAAAGCAAAACCAAATGATAAGGTTACTAGCCTCTGCATTGACAAAAGGTTATTTAGAACTAGCAAATGACAAACAATCCATCTTGATGACGTAACATGTGAATCTATTTCGAATTCCAATGCACCACTTGAGGTTATAAATACATTACATGTAGCAAGTATTCAAGGTTCTTTGTCTTTCTCATGGTTATGCTATATCAGTCTGAAAAAAAGAATGCACATAAATCTCTAACATGGCCGCCAATTTGAGAATTTTAAACGGGGCGTATCACCTTTGATTGGATCAATTTTAAAGTAGTAATGAACTCATGATAGGATATGAAAAGAGCTTTTACTGGATTTCCGAAAACCTGGTCGGTCTGTTTCTAATGCTAAAGCCAGTTTTCAGGATTGATTGAATCATACATGTAACCTACTCACGGTCTGAATGACTAAACTGGCTAATCTAGTCTGCTGTTGAAAATATTGATTGAAATACTTATGAATAGAGCGGTAGCAATCAGAAGGCGTAAAAACTATTCTATCTTGTAATAAAAATAATGGCAAAGAAACACCTTCTGATTTATCTTCAATGCCCTCGATCAGTGTTCACTGGGAAACTGCATATATTGCACATTTTGCTAAGACAACGAAGCACATCTGGTTCCTGCCATAATCTTGAAAGCTTTTCATGGGAAGCTGCTACAAAGTGAAAGAATGTATCTTATTTTTTGGATAGAAAGGCAAGCTGAAAGGCTTGAAGATTTTTTTTTTAAAGAACATATCTTATGCTGAGCCAAAAACCTAATTAGGCAGATACGTATTTTTGTTCCCTTGGGGTTCGGCTCCTTCAAATTCTTATTGGCATTTCGGAACCACAGTATTTGTGGATAACTATTGATTAGAGTGGATGCTTATCGGTTGCTCAACCACATTTTATTATGATCTATAATATGACTTCTTACCAGAAACTAGAATACAGAGAGGCTCATACTCTAGATTGCTTGGTCATAAAGGTTTTAAGTTATCTAGTGAAGACCACGGAAATCATAATCCAACGCTCATGAACGGCAATCCATTGTACATTATATGTGGTATGTGCATGATGCACTTTAGAAGATCCTTTTCCATCTTACTGATATATAATTTTAAATTAATTAAATGGAGTCTCGGTTATATATGTTTGAGTTAAGGCTCAAATAACAGCATGAGACATGCTACAGATAATTTGGTAATATTTACTCATTTATACAGATGATGTATAATTGACCTCTTGCAATTATGTGTTTGATGTGCGCCTTCTGTCTAGAGCTTGCCTGCAATTACTACTGTTTTATATACACTCTGTGACTAGTGATCTCTTGTATTCCTTATGTGTATTTGTAGCCATAAAATGGGCTTATGCTATAATAGGCACCAACCCACAACACATTGCCACATAACATAGCTACCAGGCTTTTCTGACATCGTCCTTCTATGACGCCTGGCCTGTTAAAAGAACTTCAATTCTCATCCCATCACGCGCCATATCCTGTTTGATCTCCTTTATAACCATAGAAAGTTTTACTTATAAATCCTGTTGAAACTTCTCCCATATGACTATATGTGTGACTTCTTGATTATCACGCGCCATATCCTCATTGGAAGGATTATCCAATCCAAGTTCATTCAGAAGTTATTGAGCCCTTATAAGTTCACATATTGTTTGGTTCATAACCTGCTATTCAAATTTTGCACTATATTTGGCAATTATAGTTTGCTTTTTCTCTTACTAGTCAAAAGATTTCTACTAATAGAAACACAGTAACATATGCTTGACTTCCTATCATCTAGAGATTTGGCCTAATGAACATCTGTGAAGGATTAAACTCTCATGTGGCCATGGTTGCGATGCAACATTACTTTTCCTGGGGATTTATTTGAGTACTGCAGTCCTTCACTAAGCGAATCTGTGTCTCCTACGGGTGGTTGGTATAGAAATAAACTGGCTAACTATACTAATTTGGAAAGTATTGTCTGGTGAATGACTCAAACCCTGGTGATTATTTATAACCATAAACTGGGCTAACGTCAGGATAGGCTCAACCCGCAAGATGTTAATGCATGGCTTAACTTCCACACTATTCTAATGCTTGGCAAACTTCATGTTAGCATCTGGTAAGGCCTATCATTATCACCTTATCTGATTCTTTGACTTGAAATGCTGCAAGTTCTTATCAGAGGCACTCTAACAAGCAGTTGCTTTTCAACATTTGCTGGCCAAATGGACTGTACAAAATAATAGTTGCCGGGTCGCAAAACTACTTTTCCTTCTACTTTTCTTTAATCTATTATAATTTTAATATGATATATCTTGTTGGCATTTTATTCCCTGGATACTTGAACTATATGCAATTATTGTTCCAGCTTTTGCAATTTTGCCATCAATGTTGCATTCTAAAATAATCCGATGGTCAGTAGTGACAACGAAAGTATATCTTAGCTTACAAATTTTATCGATTATCTTGTATTCTCTGCCCACTTGAACTGCGTTGAAACTTATGAAATAAATAGTTTTAGAATAGTATTAGTCTTCTTTATGTAGTTACACTACAGCAAGTCCCTTATTGGTTGTATCACAAGCATGACATCTTTCTTATGGATTTACACGGTAACAAAAAATATGTTTACAAATGTTGTGGTTGAGCTGTAAGAAGCCAGTACTGAAACTTACTGTTAGTTCTCGACTTCTTGTGACGGTCTGTCTTTCCTTTCCTTTGTTTTATTTTTCCTGAACGGCAAGCATGATGGCCAAGCTAATTACAAATGTTGCTTATTCATATTACTATGAAGAATGTCACTACCAATGTGTCTGTGCAACTGACCTGGTTCTTTCTGTTGTTCTTTACCCACATCTGCCTTTGATTTACATGGAACGGGCTTTCATCGCTATGAGTTATTAAGGCCAATCATAATCTGAAAATTACTGTCCTGGTATATTAAATAATAGAGTATAAGCTGACTTTTATGTGTATTCATATGCTGCAGAAATCCAAGAGGTTTCAGCTTCTTCATTTTACCTGGGAGTGTTTGCCCTGATGCTACATGAACTCTTATCAGGGAATCAAATGATTGTCTTGCACTCTTATATATGCTGTCTCTCACACTCGTTGGCGTGGTGCATTTATCTTCTGTATGGTGGAAAATAAATAGGAAATCAGGGTGCTCTGTCTGCTGAGCTCTTCTCTAAATCAGTCCTCAATTACTGATGATGTCAATTGTGTATCCTGTGCTGCTTGGCGAATGGCGAAGCATTTGCAGGTCTTGTCACTGCCAAGTGTGAGAATGTAACTCAGCTGCATCGACTTTTTTTGTGTATATAATGGTACTTGTACAGCAATGATATTCATGATTGGCTTTTGCTTGAAGTTTAATTGCTTTCCTTAACGTTAGGGACGAGTGAAGAGAATTACTGCTTTGTAAAACAGCAGATTCTATGAGAACTCCACTTCCAAGAGTATTTTATTTAACAATATGCCTGTAAATAAAGGAAAAAGGATTATAATTTCACTTGTAAACTGACCATGTGTTTTATTTCAGCAAATTGCTCATGATCATTAAAACACGCACCCGAAATTCATATTTTTAATGATTCAAATTAGAATTGGAGCCAAATATTAAATATGTACAAATGATTCATATTTAATTATTAAAGAACTAATTTTCATGGCAAAAAAAAAAAGATATATTTTTTAAGTTTTAAATTTTCGAAGAAACTTTAATAAAAATTAAAGAAGGGAATATCACAGAGAATTCCCACCAAATATATTGCCCTAGTGGCAGAGCAGGGTAAAGGTTATATCCCCAGGCCAATTTGGCCTTCTTCCCAATTGGGGGCTAAAAAAGGGCAAGAATTCCTCCTCCCCAATTCTCTTTCCCTATGATTTAAAAAAAAAAAAAAAAAACAAAGAGAGAGACTCTCCATTCCTTCACTCTCCGATTTCTCTGTGCTTCTAATGATTTAACCGTCACATTCGACTTCACAATCTCGCTATCTCTGGTGGTCATGCTCGTCTTGGGTTCCTGAAGCTTTCGCTGAATCAGAGTTTGCCACTTCTTTCAGGTAATCATAGGTTGTAGCCTTCAATTTCTGCCCTAATCATACTTTCCACCTTCTCTTCTTTTTCCCTACGCCATCGACATCTCCAAAGCTGCAAAACTAATTGAGATTTCTTTCGCATTCCGTTCGAAGTTTGTGGGCTCATTGTCTTCTGCTTCGGGTTGTAGAAGGATAGAAAACGGCTCTTAAGCAGCGTTTTTAAAATTTTTCATCCCATGAAAAGACGGCGTCGTTTCCAGCAGACGGGTTAAAAACCGGTAGCCCGCCTAACCCAACGGATTATCCGGGTTGAATATCATATTTTTTTGGGATATGTCGTGTCGTCTGATCCTAAAGGTCCATCACAATTGGGCGTTGGGCAGAATACGACCACGCCACACCCAAGAATCGTTCGGATATCTGTTGAGGAGACAGGCACTCTCAGTAGTGAGCTCCTTCAAGCTCGCTCATCTTTTCGAACATAAATGGCGTCCACAGTTTTTAGAGGCTTTCAAGCGAACCCCTTTCTGCTATATCCAGTATCACTACTCGGGAGAAAAAATGGGGCCATGTACTGCACAATGAAAAGCACACAATCCCAAACTGCCACACAGGAAAAGCAATCCTCCCAAGCCAATGTTTCGCCATCTAGTACCCAATCCAAAAAATTGAACAAAATCGCAGAAAACTTTGAAGCAATCATTGGTATAGAAACCCATGTTCAGCTTTCCACTCTAACCAAAGCTTTTTGTGGCTGCCCTTACAATTATGGGTCTTCACCTAATACCTCTGTCTGTCCGATTTGTATGGGCTTGCCTGGTGCTTTGCCTGTTTTGAACTCCAAGGTCATAGAGTTTGCTGTGAAATTGGGTCTTGCTCTTAATTGCAAGTTGTCTCTGAACTCCAAGTTTGATAGGAAGCAATATTTCTACCCAGATCTTCCAAAAGGGTATCAAATTTCTCAGTTTGATGTGCCAATTGCTACCGGTGGTTACATTGATGTGGATCTTCCAGTGGAGTATGGTGGTGGCCACAGGAAATTTGGCATTACCAGAGTTCACATGGAAGAGGATGCAGGGAAGCTGCTACATGCAGAAAATGGTAGCTACTCTCAGGTAACCGCTCTATCCCCTTCACTTGATTTTCTATCCTAAACGTTGCACTGACTGATTCAGTTTCTTGTTTAACATGCTTTAATATGTATATATGGTTCTGAGTTATATCCTTTTTACTTATAATCAATTTCAAATGCCCTTCGATATTAATATAACTTGGGCAACCCGCACTGTTCATCGTATTTGAACAAATTTTTGTTGGATTCATGGTCTTCAAAAATTGTGGAGGCCTTAAATAGTCGTTATTCACGGCATAATTTTGTGGTTTATCATGACAGGTTGATTTAAATCGGGCAGGGGTACCATTGCTTGAGATAGTTTCTGAACCTGATATGAGGAACGGTATTGAAGCGGCAGAGTATGCGGCGGAATTACAGAGACTGGTTCGGTATTTGGGAGTGAGCAATGGCAATATGCAAGAAGGTTCTCTTCGTTGTGATGTGAATGTCTCAGTTCGACCCATTGGGCAATCTCGCTTTGGGACAAAGGTATCCCTGGGAGGTTTATTGATGTTGATAATAAAATTGCATGAATACTTTGTTCATGCTTTGAAATTACGTAGATCTTGTCCCTACTCTAAATATTATTCGAGGATCTGTGTTTACGTTGAGCTATCTCTGTGCAGTCTTCAGGCTGAAAAATATTAATGATATAATGACAATGGAACTCACATTATTCTCTGCCGCTCCTTCTGATTAATTTACCGAGGCTCCGATATTTCTTACCTGGATATAACATTTTAAGGGTGGTGACAGGAAGGTATTATCTGAAATAATTAATCTTGTCAGCATTTGCGCCAGGACAGCTGTTGACATCATTTAATTGGCGACTTTCATTACCTGAAAGAATAAAATGCAGAGCATTTTTACAAATCAAGCATGTAGACGAGCAAAATGACATATCTTTACGTATTGAAAAAAATTGTATGTAAAATGGCTTGATCCTTGTTTTTTCATTATGGTGAAGTATTTAAAATGACTTGACTTCTTGTTTTTTCCCCCTCGTGACAATGCAATATGAAATAGTACAATCTTTTACAGATTTAGCAGCTGATATTATAAATTTTATTGACAGGTTGAAATTAAAAATTTGAATTCATTTTCATCAGTGAGTAGAGCCATCGATTTTGAAATTTCAAGGCAGGTGCAACTTCATAATCAAGGTCAGCAAGATCAGATTGCACAGGAAACTCGTCTTTGGGAAGAAGGCGCTCAGGCTAGTACTAAATTGTGATATTATTGTGGTTTTTTAGTGTAGCAGGTAAAAAATAGTATTCACTTCCTGCATTCTTATTTACGTAAAGAAATTTTGTTATTCTGTTTAGAGAACAGTTACAATGAGGAAAAAGGAAGGGCTGTCTGATTATCGATATTTTCCAGAACCAGATCTTCCTGCAGTCTTCCTTTCCAAAGAATATGTTGATGATATTCGCAATTCCTTACCTGAGCTTCCAGAAATAAAGCGTAGAAGATATGAGAATATGGGCTTAAGCATGCAAGATGTTCTTTTCCTTGCTAATGATAAAAATGTGAGTACTTCGTTGTTTCTAAAAGCTATGGTTGGGTTTCTTTATCTGATCATGTTCTCTCTCTCTGTCTCTCTCTAATTCTATATAGGAATCTATAAATATTAATTTGCTTTTTATGAATCTTCAGTTATTATACCAAACTTTGCATTTAAGGGAGTGAATATAAAGTTAACTTGCTGCTGGAAAGTATTTTCACTTATGATTGGCATGTTTTTTGTTTTCTGGACGGATTTATCAGATTGCAGAGTTTTTCGATGCTACCCTTGCCAAAGGTGCTGATGTAAAGCTGGCTGCCAATTGGATTATGGGCGATATTGCCGCCTTCATGAAAAATGAAAAGTTGACTATAAATGAAATTAAGCTTACACCTGAAGAGCTGTCCGAGTTGATAGCTTCCATTCAAGGTGGAGTTATCAGTGGCAAGATTGGGAAGGAGGTATATTTTATTTGTAACTTGTCGATAGTGCATATTTAAGATCCCAGCTTTACTAATTCTTGCACACCATATTTTATCACTTTGCCTAGATCTCATTAACTCATCTAACGGCTATTGACATTAAGGCTTTCATCAGACACACACACGGATCCACATATTTTCCCTTATTAAATTTCAGAGAATTAAAATAGTGTAATAGTTAATTTTGTTTGTATGTCTGGGATAAGGACCAACTCAGCTTAGTCACAGAGAATCGGATTGACAGACAAGGATGTCCAATATGCGGCATTTATTTTGTAAAATATGTTGATCTGTGTAGTTCAATTTTCACGGTGCGCCATTTCTTGCCGTTAAACTTTTATATTCTGTTTCACTTCTTTTTTTCTCCCTGTTCTCACATGTTGAATAGACTTAGGATACAAACATCAGATTCTTTTTCTTTCTTTCTTTCTTTTTTAATAGTTTGATTGACTTGGCTCAATGTGTAATAATCTGTATTTACTATGTTGCAGCGAATGTAGAAGGAAGTAAGATGTTTAGATACTTTAAGCTATGTCCTATTTATTTATTTATTCATTTTGTAATATTTGTACATGCTGCATGTTTACAACTCTTGCCTTGTGATGTGTTTGTAGATATTATTCGAGCTGCTAGCCAAGGGTGGAACCGTTAAGGGGCTGATAAAAGAAAAGGATTTGGTTCAGGTAAGTTGCAGAATATGTTATAGGACTCCCGTGTGTCATTCATTTTCGTTACTTTCATTTTATTGTTGTTCAAAGAGAACCGCAAAATGTGGAATTTTAATTGAGTTGGGGTGGAAATTGGTTTCTTAAAAGCTAGTGAACTTTACTTTGAATATTCCCAGTAGATGCTTACTCTGAATTAAGAAGAGGAAGACATGCATGTATATGAAAAACCTTAAGTCCTATAGATTCTATTTTCTGAAATTATCTCCCCTATAGAGTTCCATGGCCCCGTGAATTCACGAGGTTTCTACCAGCAATTCATTCCCGCCACATCTTAAGAGAGGATTACATTTACGTGCTCTTTGTGGGTTTCTCTGCAAATCGCCTTTTGGTTTGTATTTGGAAGGTTCTCCTGAGTTAGCTCAGGCTGTCTCCTTTGTACTTAGCTTGTGTGGGGAGTACTGCTTTCTTGTCCATTGTACCTTTCAGTAATTTTCTCGCTTATTGATATGCCAGCTGTAGTCACAATAGAAGAAACTTGGGTGATGCATAAAGAAGCATATAACAGTTGTTGTAGCCGCCTTCATAAACTACTTCATTGATCAGTGTGTTTCTGGGAGAAAATTTGTTGATATTTTGATTAGATTCGTTCATTGATTTCATTTTCAACCGTAGTTGGCCCCAGTTACAATTTTCAGTTCGAGCTTGATTTTTTCCATTTCTGTGTGATGGTGAAGATCCATGAATGAAGTTGTATTCCTAGAAAATGTGAGCCCATGCTTGTGAATTTGGAAATAACAGATAACAGATCCTGCTGAGATTGAAAAAATGGTGGACCAAGTGCTTGCGGAGAATCCAAAGCAGCTAGAACAACATATCGTGGAGGCAAAACTAAGCTACACAGGTTTTTTTTGCTGGCCAGGTATTCACTTGTGGAGTTCGAAGCCCCTTTTCGTTTATTTTCTTCCCTTTTCTTTTATTTTTTAAAAATGTTTTGCCCATCTGTTTTCTGTTTTTCGGATATTTGTAACTACAATGTCTTCGAATAACAGGTTATGAAATTATCTAAAGGGAAGGCAAATCCAGGCTCCTTAACAAGGTCCTCTTGGAGAAGTTGAACTCAACGAGCTGATGCTAATGGATTGCTGTTTGCACACTTAATTTTGGCACTTAGCTTGATTGAAATATTGTCTTCTCATTTCTTAGAACGGGCTGCTAGCTTTGCGGAGTATATAAACTAACCTTGCATCCTCCGGTCAGGGATAAATAGGTAGGCGATGCATTCATGCTGGGCAAGTTAGTGACCGTGGCAGCCTAAATA